TCCATTTATAAAAGCGTTGTATATTAAAAAGTTTTTTTTATATTATTTATTTTCTACTTTTTAGTCCTGTCTGAATAAAATTTTGCAATAGATATTAAAATAATTCAACGATATTAATAGAAAGGTGCACACACATGCATTTACATATGTATGTACATACAAACGAGCACCAATTAATTTTATTTAAAGAAATGGCGTGTCGTCTATTTCCGCTGTAGCAAACGTAGTACATAGGGCGACATCTAGATGTCATCTACCTCGCCCTATTCACTACAGCTGTCGCCCTATGCACTATGCTTTTTTATAGGAACTTTTCAAAGCTTTGCTTTGGTGTCGGACACACAACATTGAAAGTTTCTGGATCCACAACATTGAAAGTTTCTGGACGCACAACATTGCAAGTTGATGAAAGCGTTGTAATTTATCAAAAAACAAAGTTCTCCAACAGCGAATTTCGTTCAAGTGCTGATTTGTATTAAGCATAATAATGCTGTAACATTTGTTTTCAATTTCTGTTAAATATATTGTGAGCTATTTAACATATTTTTTATAAATCTGGATTCGAAGTGAAAATGAGTTCGGGCCTTTCTATTTTAAGCTAACGATGTGTAATTTAGTGGAAAAATAATATAAGTACTTCTTTTGATTTTAATCATTATTTATTTTAAGAATCTTTATTCACTGGTTGTGGTAACTATGTATTAATTTTCTAACTCTATAAATACTCTTTCGCATTCCTTAAAACATCAAATAGTTACCTGATTCCCCAAACGAAATGATATTCCCTCCACATATCGCACCACCATGCAACTTTCCCTGCTGTCGCCCTTCATCATCTTCAGTACCCCGTTGTTCCATTGGAAGGCGAAACTCCTTTTCGCTTTCAACGGATCAACGGCCTCCAACACCGCCACGTCCACCACCTTTGAGACATGAATTGAATTACAATTCCACACCTAACACACCAGCTGGTAAGCTAAAACAGCAAGCTTGTGTTTACAAAATGGTTCCAATTATAAAACCAGCCTCCTCTATGCCCGGTGGATTATCCACAAAAAATCATTGTGTGCAACTCTCCAAAGGCATCAATGTGGTAGCAACCCGTAATGTAATTTCGCATTACCATAGCTCCCAACCAAATTTGCTAAGCAATTCGAGCGGCCGAAATCGTGACAGCGTTGGGCGGCATGATAGTATGCCAATTGGAAATATAACTTCTGCTTTCGCTAGTCACACTGTGAACACCAACGTTGATGGCAATCTGAAGGCTGATAGTAGCTGCCCCGCTATTTTTGGGGTATCTACAAAGAATATTGGACGCACGCTATACACCTTCGAGCCGCGAACCACTGCTTACTACTACAATGAGCTTCTACAAAAACCGACTATATTTGGCTCGAACTTAAATTTGGTCAACGAATCGATGAAAGAAGAAAAAGACTTATCAGATTGTAGTAATGTAAAGACATCTGAACCATCAACTATTGGCTCCACCAAAATTTGTAATGGTATTTCATTGTCACCGAAAGCAGCAGTATACCACTCCCAGAATAATCAAAATAATAATGAAGTCGACACCGAATACGACACGGCCGTCAGTAACAGAGGGAACGAATGTGATAAACGCGTTGGTTACTTTGAGGTGTCGAAGACATACGAAGAATATCCTTCAGCCTCATGCCAATTCAATAATCATGGTATTGGAACAAAGGCTGCTGCAACGCAAGTATCAGCACAAAATAATAATTTTGGCCCAAAGCCGGCTGCTAGAAGCTTTTCTACGGCCATTCCCTCTTCTGATTCCCTATTGAAAACTTCTAGATCGTCTGGCCTTTATAACCACAGCATTAATATGAACAACTATTACACCAGTAACAAAATATGTAGTAATCATAATTCTTGCGATCCAAACAAGTTTGGCAGTAGTAATGAGCAAATGGCATGATACTAATTTGATTGGGAAGAAAAAAATACACACGAACTCCTCACTTTACGCAAATGGATTGTTGAATCTTTCCTCAATTCCGGGAGCATGAAATTCTTTTTTTGATTTCATACAATAATTGGAATAAGCGGAATGATTATACTAACGTACATACATTTCATAACAAGTTTTAATGTTCAAATTGTGTTATTTCCTTCTTTTAAACTATTGCGATGCTTAATTGGGTTTTGCATGAATTTATAATTTATGGAAGTGAATAATTATATATTCATAAGCCTTATGTAAATATTCATGGTTTTGTCTATGTATATAACCACATGAGGATGTATACCAGGTACATATGTATGTATACCTAGACACCATCACCTTTTTTTTTGTGTTAAGAAACTTCATCCTCTTGTAGTGGTTTTTGTTATATTAAATTTATAAAATATGGATAAATTGCTAATGATAAAAAGATATAAGTATATTTATATGACACTATTGCTAACTTAATATTTGTATGCCTTTATTTCATTTCTCTTATGCTAATGAAAATCATTCCACAAATATCACCATGGTCATTTCCTTGCTTTATTAATTCGTCACAATTCAAACCGAACCCAATAATGATCAATGTATTCGGTTATATTTTGTCCTTCGTCCCAAATGTGTCTGTTCCCAACATCATTCGGCTACAAAACATTTTTTGTAAACCTGTTTAACTTTGTGTTAATACTATTTTATTCATTTTCGTTTGCGTTATTTTATAATACAACATATATGATGTTTGCTACGTTTTGAAATAAATCTTCTTTTAACAAATTTCTATTTTACATATGTATTTTACTCCTGGAAAATAACAAAAATGTTATATCAATGCAAACAAATCTTCCTCCCTTACATTAATATCATCTCAAATCTACATATGTCTCTGTCCACACCACTAATGAACCGACCATAGCCGATTGAATCCCTGTCCGATGATTTCCTTTTCCCAATGACCACCTCCCGTCTATCGTATGCATCGAGTCCGGAATCTGATTTGGAATTAAGTCCGGGGCCGTCAACGTCATTGTCCCTCGGTAATTTGCCGCAATTGGTCAAATCGAGCTCAGATCCGTCGATTGCCACTAATCAGGATAACTTGGATAGGTCTAGAGATACAGTCGGTGACGGATTACCACCTCCATATACGGTAAGAGGCAAACACCTGCATACACAATAATTCATCCTTAACTGTAATGTAATCTTATGAATGCATTAAAATGTATAGCTACATACATACGAAACATTTTGTTTAAAACACGGTTAACTATTGCTTATCAAAATAGTACATTCATTAAAATATTTAAAATATTTTTTCATATTTATGATATTGATAAAAAGCGTTCAAGTTGCATTTTCAAAGAATTTAACAATATTAAATGAGAACTATAAATTTAATAAAAAAATTCAAAGTGAGTGCTTAAAATATTTGACCTTTAAATGGAAATTTCATTTTCTGGCACTAGATTCCGTATGATCACGCTATTAATTTATCATCAAATTGCCGACAACCAATTGATGGCAATAAATATGCAACTTATGCGACAGGATCCAGTATTATTGATGCAGATGTTGTGGTTTCCGACCCATCAACGCCTTCTGCACGCCCACAATCATTTTATGGTAAACATGCACCTGATCTTCCGCCACGAATCGATCGCCAATCAAAGCCTGGACCAGGTGAAATGCTTCCAGATCTACGTACCAACAGTTCAAGTGGAACGTTGGGTCGTTCAGCACAAGGACGTCTGTTTGGCAAAGCCGTCATTAATGGCGAAGTGCATGCTGAATACATCTCCCGAAGCGCCAACGACTCGATGGATTACCACCAAGCTTCATTGGAACGTCAAGCACTTCTCAATGCAGCAATTTCAAATCCAGCGGTTAGCGTCAATAAAGTAACTCAACTAAATGGCAACTCATACGACAGTGTGTCTAGCTACGATTCATATAACACGTCGCAGTTAACAGTACAAAACCTTGGAAGACTTGGTCCAAATGCGCCGGATGATCTCAAGTCAGTGCCGAACGCGAGGTGAGTGTATAAAACTGTATTTCTGATACGAATATGATATTTCTTTTTGCTAAATGTGTGCATGACATAGTGATGAGCACCTCGAATTTGGTAGATCATATTTTTTCTGCAGCTTAAGATATATAGAAGAAATAAATTAAGTTTTTATCATTTATAATTGCAAGGTAATTGCCCAAAGAAAGCGGGAAAGCAGGTTTAGAGTTGGGATTGAGTTCTGGGAGGTAGGGATTACATTTTGTTACGGGTATTTATCAAGCACAATGAGCGTATATTGTTCAACACTAAGTTCCCACGAGCACTGACAATTACGTGGTTCCCTTCTGAATTACTTTGGTGAATTACCACTGTTTGGGAGAACCATGGGTACCGTGTCCGGCTGGTCACCCTATCAGGTTGCTTGTGAAACTTTCATTTACCGTACGTGTTTAACAATGGGCAACTTTGTATTTCTACATAATTATCATGGTGAAATAATACCAGGTGTAGTAATGAAACAGTATTCTCGCTTTATATTCTTAGTTTTCTTGACCATCGGAATGTTTCCAAGCAAATTTTCAAATAATATAGTGTAAAATCTTTCTTCTCCCTTTTATTACTACACCTCGTATAATTTCACCATGCACAATTATTGGTTGTCATAATTGTTTTAGTTAAATTATTATGTATGTCTATATGTATGCTCAAGGCACAGTATTTTCTGTACCGCATTCAACAACACTATACCTTATTGCATTTTTCATATATAAGCAACCTTCGCTGCAGAACGGCTTCTTTCTATTTTTACTTCTATGGTTTTAATTGGCATTAGCTTTTACATTGTTACCACCGCCGCACTCACGTACACTTTGTAGGTTAGGTTAGATTATACCATAGCGATACGAGATTAGAGTCCTGTTTTAGCGAAAATATATGTCACTTATGATATGCGTCTCATTTGCGAATTTTAGAAGAAGATCAAGTCCAGTTTCGAGAATTCTGTCTAGTCCGTCGAAGCTAGTTGCTTCCAGGTATTTAAGTCTTGTTTCCCAGAGAGCCGGACAGGGACACAACAGATGCTCCAGGGTTTCTTTTGCACCCGAAACGTTACATTTCCTACAAGCATCGCTGTGAGCGAATTACAATTTATATGCGTGTGCTGCAACAAGACAGTGGTCTGTTAATACACCGGCGAGTGTTCTACAGCTCCTTCTATCGAGCGATATAACACACGATTGGGAGAAATAGAGATTGCGTCCATCGCGGTACCGCTAATCCGGTCTTTGTGAATTTGACAGAATCAGCTGGGTGCGTGACATGATCTTGGTGCAATTGTTGATTGAGGAAAACCAAATAACGATTTAACTGGGTATGGCTTAGTTATTTGCCCAATGATTTCGGGCTATTGTGTCCGAATGGGTGAACCGATCAAAAAAATGTTACACAAATTTGTAGTCAAAGGTCTACAATTTATTTTAAAACCTTATTTTGAAATTTGTGGTCACTAATTTATTAATAAACTAGCCAATGCCCGCTTACTTCGCGGCGCCTTATAAGAACGTTTGCGTGGCCAATGCAAAATAGCGTTTAAAAGCAAAAATAGTCTGTAAAGTCAAAATTTTTGGATTAATTTGAAACCAGTAAGGCGCAGTATCCTCCTTACACATAGGCCAATAATAGTAACGCTACGATACTATATGGAAACCAATCCCTTTCGATGTCATGAGCTTTACCGATGGTCTTATTACCACCTGTGAGATCTCTGCCAAGCATGCATAATCTTTTTCTATAATCTTGCAACTACAACATTGGTGCGATGCGTATGCCAATAAAAGTTCTTATAAGGAAACTCAAGAGCACAGAAGTGCGTTTTCTGGCCAAGAATCCTCGCTGTCCCACAGGATGAAAAGTTTTCCGGTACATTGGCTAAATGAGTCGTGTGATCTCTTGAATATCTTTCAAGTGAAGCAATAGATATACCTACTATGATCTTTCCTTGATAATTCGCCACTTTTACAATTCGTGGTAATATTTATGAACCGATCTCTAAGTAATGCAAGAGGGGCCTCAGACAAACCTAAACCCATCCTTCATTTCGACATCCGAAAACTAAATTCATATAACTTAAACATAGGGCCAAAGCAGACCAAGCACACGGGGTTTCTATACATTTCGGCTGCAGCGCCATCCATTGGGCCCATTTTCTGCAAAACCGTTGCTTACCATAAAATTAATACGTGTTATGAGTTTCAACCCCTACTCCAGCTTCCGTCATACAGGTACATAGCTCACATTTAAAATTTGAACGAAATCCGTTAATAAATACGATTTTTATAAATAACTCTACTCCAGAACTACCTAGCAAGTTTTCTAGTGGCATATAGTAGGATCATATATGTATCTAAAATAACCTCCGACAATCAGACTGAACTCTATTTAGTTGTTTTTGAGTTTAGTCCGAACAACGAAAACGGCTATCATATTTTGCAAATAGATAGGTATGTAGATAGGACAGTCTATAGCGAAACCTGAAAAATCAAAGCTCCATTCTTTGCGAAAAATTTAAAAAAAATTCTTCAAAATTTTCACATAACTAAAAATTAAAAAAAAAGTTACAATAGTTCAATGGAATTTAGAAATCTAGGAGAAAATGTCTCCCAATCGAATGTTACTTGCGCGTTTACGTGAATGTATATCCATCCAGTATTTCCAATAATTACCACTTTTCGCCATAGGTACGGTATTGATAACATATGTAGCTGTGTCGAATTTCAGGACGTTAGCGTAAGCGGTTCCAGAGATAAGCTATATGAGAAGTTCAGTTTGTATGGAATGTGCGACGCCCCCTTTTCCAATGCATTTGCAATCTATGCAGCAGTGTTAAGTTTCAGTTTCCCAGCGTAATTGGTTTTAGAGATATATTGGTTTTTTTACGTTTTAGTCTATATAAGAATTTTAGGAATATCCCGAGCTACATACCGAGTAAATTTTTGGTCGGAATATTTATTTTCAAGGTGCTGGCATATGTTCCAAATATGAACCAAATCGGTGTATCCGTTTAGTTGTTTAGTGAAATACATTGCACAGAGAACTGTATGAAATTGTAAAGCGCAACGTCTCTGATTTCTTAATTTTTTGGCAGCAACAACAAAAATTTTTGATTTTTTTAAGCGAAAAACCTTCCACACAGAAGTTCCAAAAAAGTGCGATTGGTTATGCTTGAACAACCTTAATTGAATGCCAATAAAATTAAGTTTGTGGTTATATCAATGCCAAATTTTGAGAAAAGTCTGTTGCTAACTCTAAATCTAAACAACGACGCACTGGAAAAAGTTAATACATTCAAATACTTAGGCATAATGATCGATGATAAACTAAAACAAAAAAAGTTGATTCTATATTTTCAATTAGAGTTCTAGCAATATGTACATCGGTGAAAACTGCATTTAATTATGTACNACTGCAATTTTCAAACAGGTGGCAACTCTCTAATTGTTTGCTTTATATATTTTAAGTTAGACCTCTGGCAATACATCGGTGTAAACTGCATTCAAATCCATGCATTCGTTTTATAGTGATGCGAGTGAAAACATACAGACAGACAGACAAAAATTCTAAAAATGGTTGATTTGGCTTCTGGAGCTCTAATAAATACTCCCCACATTAATTTTTCTTTAATATCTATAATGTACAGACATCGACCTGTTACAATTTTATTATATGTATAGATAACCTCCGCCAATCTGACGGAACTCTATTCAGTGGTTTTTGAGTTAAGTCCGAACAACGAAAACGGCTATAATTTTATGCATATAGGTATGTAGATAGGACAGATCTAGGAGAAAATGGTTCCCAATCGAATGATACTTGCGCGTTTACGTAAACGTATATCGATCCAGCCTTTCCAATAATTACCACTTTTCGCCATAGGTACGGTATTGATAACTTGTGTAGCTGTGCCAAATTTCAGAAAGTTAACGTGAGCGTTGAAGAGATAAGTGAAATGAGAAGCATGGGGTTGCCGCTCCTCCTTTTCCATTACTCACCACTTTTCGCCATAACTACAGTATTCATAAAATATGTTCGAAAAAGTTGTGTCGAATTTCAGGATAGCGTAAGCGGTTCCAGAGATAAGTTATATGAGAAGTTCAGTTGGTATGGAATGTGCGACGCCCCCTTTTCCAATGCATTTGCAATATATGCAGCAGTGTTAAGTTTAAGTTTCCCAGCGTAATTGGTTTGGGAATATTTATTTTCAAGGTGCTGGCATATGTTCCAAATATGAACCAAATCGGTGCAGCCGTTTAGTAGTATAGTGAAATACATTGTACAGAGAACTATGAAATAGTAAAGCATGACGTCTCAGATTTCTTAATTTTTTGGCAGCAACAACAAAAAGTATTGATTTTTTTAGAGAAATACCTTCCTTGTAAATCGCATAAGAGATCACTTGCTCTTTCTGACATTAATCAGCCTGGGTATGGGAAGATTTATTTACANAAACTGAAATTTTAAACGCAGGTGGCAACTCTCTCATTTTTTTCTATATTGTAAGCAATTCCATGTTTTCGAGTGATGCGCTTACAAATATACAGACAGACAGAGAGTCAGAGAGAGTTTCTAAAAATTGTTTATTTGGCTTTTGTAGCTCTAAGAAAAATTCAACATTAATTTTTCTTTAATATCTATAAGGTACAGATATCGGCCTGTTACAATCTTATTATAAGTATAGATATAGATTTCATTTATTTTATCAATTTAATACAATAAATTTTTTCAAACAGGTGGCAACCCTGCCTAAATTTCCTAAACCTCTTCAGTTTGATACCCATATTACAATATTAAATTTACCTCATAAATTAAATTAATTCAAACAGGTGGCAACTCTAAACATATTTTTGGCTGTAAGCCTTCTTAAGCTTCTTTCTTCTGACGCCCATATTGCAATATTTGCTTTTTCTTATCAATTTACTTAAACTGCAATTTTCAAACAGGTGGCAACTCTCTAATTGTTTGCTTTATAT